CTGTGGGACTGGCCGCAATGGGATGGCCGAAACGCAGGTCATTGGGTCTGGGGAACTGCCTCCTACACAGCCAACCTTGCGACTGTTCTTCTCAAAGCCTCTCTCATTACCAACATCTGGACGAAGTACACTGTAATCGCCATCCCAGGCTCTATGCTGCTCTGGTTCATCCTGATGCCCATCTACGCCGTTGTAGCTCCCAAGGTTAATATCTCCACCGAGTACGTTGGTGTCATCGAGCGCTTATTCCCCGACCCGCGGTTCTGGGCAATGGTCTTGGTGTTGCCGCCACTCTGTCTTATCCGAGACTTCGCATGGAAGTACGCCAAGAGGATGTACTTCCCGCAAAGCTACCATCACGTCCAGGAGATTCAGAAGTACAACATCCAGGATTATCGGCCACGGTATGTTACTCTATCCTTACCCTTGCTAGGAACAGCTGACTGACTCTCTAATAGCATGGAGCAATTCCAAAAAGCAATCCGAAAAGTCCGACAAGTGCAGCGCATGCGCAAACAACGTGGTTATGCGTTCTCTCAAACAGACGAATCGCAGGCTAGGGTGCTGCAAGCCTATGACACCACACAGCAACGAGGTCGGTTCGGAGAGATGGCGAGTTCGCGGAAGTAAGCCGGGATCTGGGGATGATCGCGGGAATGAACTTCACTCATCGGTGTTTGCTTGGCGCATGGGAATGGACGGAATGATATTCTTGTACGACTGCGCTCCCAGTGGGCATGATGTCTTTGATATCGGTACTGCATAGTGTTATTGATGTTAGCGTCAATCAACGAAGCTTTTGCTCGTAGTTTCTAATGACTTATTCTCTATTCAGTCTGATTTCTGTCGCTGACGTACTGTAATGCCGCTTCACCCACGGCTATTGCAACAGTCTCAGCGTCATGTCGCATGTCCGAAGAGCCTCAAACGTTTCATCGCCCCACCACGGCATGCGAACAGCACAAAAAGAAATCCCACGCCGGCTCATCGCTTATCCAATGCCATGGACGAACGGTAAATCACGACCATGGCGCGTACTAATTATCCGGTGCCTCGAGCTGTCGAGACTAGTAGCTACTTTACCCGTCGACCGCGTGGTGGCAGGCCAAATTGTGGGTAGGGAGGGGCACATGGTACCCCACTATCGTCACTGTGGTGATCGTGATTGCAGCTGCGCTCTTTTGCCAGCGTCACGGCGGTCGCATGCAGTTTCAGGACGCAGAAGTTTCTGATTGAGCATTGTTGAGACGAGCCGCTATTTACCCATGTATTGAGAATTGCCGGACAGGAGGAAGGAAGGAAGTGACATTGCAGCAGTATTTTGCAGGCTCCGCCAAACACCAAGGCCGACCAACACGCTCAGCATCCGCCACAAGCATGCGGCGCAACAAGGATAAATAGGCAGGCGGAACCATAACCCATCAGGGTAAAGGCGCAGACACGGCCATGGCAGCCCAGTCGTCCGGTTGAAGACGCAGGGTCATATGGTGATGCTAGCCTCTGACACGGCGTATATAGACGGCAGGCTGTTGTACCTGGCGCCAAAATCTGTTATTCCGTCTGCAAAATACACGTATATACTACCCCCAGGGACATGATTGCTGGGCGCTTCAATTGCCGTGCTAGCAGTATTAATACGCTGCGTGCCGCCTGTTCTTCTGCCGTTGCTACTACTTGCAGACCTCTTGCTTCTTCCTCTTTTACTCGTTCAACAAGACCTTGCTTTGGACGTTCACCTCCTACATTAGTACAAAAGAATAGCTTTGCGCATCGCAACTTCTTCGCTACCATGGCTGTCAACACTCCCTACGTTACGCTCAACGATGGCAACAAGATGCCCCAGGTTGGCTTTGGACTGTGGAAGGTCGACAATGCTACCTGCGCCGACACTGTTTACAACGCCATCAAGGCTGGATACAGGTTGTTCGACGGTGCCTGCGGTACGTTCATCCCCTCTCCTCATCCCCAGAGCCGCAGTTGGCGGAGGTCTGGGGAAGCGGTCTGCATTACTACGAAACGCTCCATCGGCCCGTAAACCGTAAAGAGCAGAGATGTATCGGCAATCGCAGACGGGGTTTTCCCTCCGATTTACCGGTGGCTTCTGCATCCTCTGCAAGGTTACATTGCCTCGGAATGCTAGCGCCCTGCCTCGGAACAGCGCCGCGCATGACCACAGCTGACAATCCAATCTACAGACTACGGCAACGAAGTCGAGTGCGGCCAGGGTGTAGCCCGCGCCATCAAGGACGGCCTCGTAAAGCGCGAAGACCTCTTCATCGTCAGCAAGCTGTGGCAAACATTCCACGAGCGCGAGCAAGTGGAGCCCATCTGCAAGAAGCAACTGGCCGACTGGGGCGTCGACTACTTCGACCTGTACATCATCCACTTCCCCGTCGCGCTCAAGTACGTCGACCCCAAGGTGCGCTACCCACCGGGCTGGTTCGTCGACGGCGAGAGCAAGATCGAGCACAGCAATGCCAGCCTACAAAGCACATGGGAAGCCTTTGAGGAGCTCAAGAACAAGGGCCTGGCCAAGAGCATCGGTGTGAGCAACTACTCGGGCGCCCTCCTCCTCGACATGTTCACCTACTGCAAGACCAAGCCCGCCACCCTGCAGATCGAGCACCACCCCTACTACGTCCAGCCCTACCTCATCGAGCTCGCCAAGCAGCACGACATCAAGGTCACCGCATACTCTTCCTTCGGCCCCCAGAGCTTCATCGAGTGCGACATGAAGATCGCGGCTGACACACCCCTCCTCTTTGACCACCCCGTCATCAAGAAGATTGCTGATGCGCATGGCAAGACTCCCGCGCAGGTCCTCCTCCGCTGGTCGACACAGCGTGGTCTTAGCGTTATCCCCAAGTCCAACTCGGCGAACCGTCTGCAGCAGAACTTGGATGTTACCAGCTTTGATCTCAAGGACAGCGAGATTGCGGAGATTTCGGGTCTGGACAAGAACTTGAAGTTCAACGCTCCTACCAACGTAAGTTTAGATGTATATCTTTGCGGTATAGGATGAGTGCTAATGTTGTGTTGCAGTACGGTATCCCTTGCTACGTCTTCGCATAGATGGATGGTGTATGGAGGAGTGGTGGATGAACGAGGATGACGATATGAATAAATAGATAAACGGCCCGGCGCGTTGCACTGCACCGATAGCCAGATAGCAACGCCAGATGGCGAAAATGAATATATACTGTCAAAACACTCGTCCACAGTCCAAACCACACTGTTGATTATCGTGACGGAGGGACGATGAACGAAAACCGAGTCGGGACCCTTGACCAAAGCTCTGAACGAGTGGTCTCAGTCCCTTCCAACACGCACGTCAATGCACCGTCACACCCCCTCCCTCCTCGCCGGCTTTCAGGCAAATCCAAAGCACACCTAACCACGCCGGACTATCCGATAGCACACCAATACCGCACGCCAGTTTTGTTGTCATAGCTGTCACACTCGCTCTAGCCCCTACTGCATCATCGCGCCAAGCACATCATGCACCTAACGCGTCCGCTCCACGGTACAAGCCACGTCTAGAACCCGTTCTGTTGTACCAGCCCTGCAGGCGCGTGGAATCGTGATGGCTTTTGCTGTGCTGGTTGTGCATGGGACAGGGTGTCGTTAGTTTTCAATTCGTGTAGTCAAGATCTTCTGTCTGAGCGACCAGGGTGAGAGATGGGATGGAGGTGATTGGTCACGGAATAAGGAAGCGTCGGCATCCGGGTCTTTTCTGTCGAGAATGAGACTCGGGAGATGTGTGATGGGCATGCGAGAATGCGCATCCAACAATCCCATCATGAAAACTCCATCACCCATGGAAATGCACTACGTCTTCAGTTGCGGGGCATCGCATACCTAGGCAAAAGACACCTGCCGACAGCCGTACAAGCGCGGCATATACAAGAAAGACATAGATAACGTTTGGACTTGGAGGCACGGGATGACGCGCTTGCGATTCTAGGTCTTCGAGGTTCTTGTTTCCGCTAAGCTCCGGAAGGTGCTCCACTGGGACAACCGCTTGCCGCATGATCCGCATTGGCATTGGCACATACACCACACATGGCAAGCGCTGGGGGGACTAGGGCTAGACTTGTTTGTGTGATGCGTGTTGTTGATGGCGCATTTTGAACTTCAGAGGTGAATTGCGCGCGTCGGTGTGAAGTAGAAGGTTGCGTGAAAGCTACTCAGCTTGCGCATCAGTTTCACGAAGTAATTAAAACGCGCGTGCGCATTATAGCGATCATGGCGACCCAAAAGATCCTCAACCCGTGACATCACCAACGCACGCGCATCAGTCCGAGTCGTCCGACGCACATCGCAGAGGCACCTCATCCTGCATCCTGCATCCGCGGATCCCGGAGCTAGTCCGAAAAAAAAAGCTCCTACCCTATGTACTAGGTCACGACAAAGTTAAATCTTTTGCATCGGAACACCGAAACGCAGGACCGATTAACAATCCAGAGGGCTCTTTCTATCGGCCAACTCAGGCAAAACCGACATCAAGCTTCCGAAGTCGTTGGCTATTTACATTACTTGAACTACTGCACGCGACCACCACGTTTTCTCCTCTTGACTTTGACTACTCTTCCGGCAACCGGCTTGCGATTATTGCGATTACGATTGTACTACTTACTAGCTACCTGCTAGCTAGTTACCCGCGAAAGAGACTACGATATACATACAAGAAAGCTTCGTGCCGGATCCTTCGCTTTTGCTTCTGCTCCTTCCTGATCCTGAATTCCGACGCGCCGGTACTGATCTGCTGTTTGATACCCACCCCCGGAGTCTGTCTGACGTATTTGATTTGAATCTGCTTTTTATACGGAGGTTTAACGCGCATCACGCCGGAACGAAAGGAAACGCAACGCAGCGCAGCGCATTGTTACTTGGAGTCTTGAGCCAGGCGCATCCGCATCCACATCCACATCCACATCCACATCCACATCGTCATACCTGAATCCCATCCTCATTTCCCTGGCCTGGACCGAACGGGAAACATGGCACTATCGGTCGAGCAAAAGCAGATGAGGTATGTCCGCGAACGCGCGAAGCTTGCGCCATGCAGCAAATACTGACCTTGCACTCTCACAGATTCCTAGCCGTCGTGCTCCCCTCCCTCACACTCTGCACCCACACGCTCCTCGCCCTCTCCTTCCTGCTCCCGGGCTCAGATCCCAACCGCGCCGTCTTCTCCATCACATACAATGCCATCGCCGGCAGCGCAAGCATATTAGGCCTCGTGGGCGCTATACGGGTAAGCAAGCAAGCCACCTTCTTCATCCCCGCGATTCGTGCGACTGGCGGGCCTTGGATGGGTCCGGGTTCGCGCGGAGGAAGCAACATCCAAGACATATCCGAGTCAATTAGTAAGACGAGGCGAAAATGTGCTAACGCCCTGTTTCTAGTTGTTACCGCGCCTAGTGTCAGCTTACACCATCGTCCACGCCATCACCCTCTCCTTCGTCACCATCGCGCTCGTAAACCTGATTCTACCCTTCGACTTCCGGTTACTCAATCCGGTTATTCCGAGCTATGCCGTTGATGGGTCGTTGTTGTGTCGCGATATCGATGCGGGGTTTGGCTGGGATGACGAGTGGTTGGAGAAGTGCTCGATGACTTTTATTGTTGTCAAGTTTGCGATTGCGGGGCTGGGTTTGAGCTTGATGGGCGCGCAGTGGTGGGCGCTGTGCAGTGTGAGGGCGTGGGGGCAGGAGTTGGGTGGTGAGGATAGGAGTGGTGAGGAGGACGTGGAAAAGGCTGGCCTTGTGCGAAGGGACGATTTTATGTTTGATGAAAAGACGGGGTTCTAAATGACTTATGAATTAAAGAGTATAAACAAAACTGGCGCAAATCGCGAGACCAGCTCGCACATGAAGTGTAGCTTCCAAGACTGGTTGGATTGCGATTGGAGTTCAACGTCAAACCTGCTCCTCCATCTTCGGGGCTTACTCAGACAGGACGGGAAAGTTGATGACTGACACCGTGTCGATCGCATCCTTGTGAGTCTCCCGAACCCAAAGTCGACCTGCTCCCTGCTCCCCTGGTCTGGGAGTCTCTCTCCAGAAAACGAACGTTGCGTCCCTTTTAGGTTGTGTGAAAAATCGGATATACGTCGTTACTTCCCCAGTCAGACAGGTTTGACATTCGCAATTGCACTTGTCCCAAGCAGTCTTTCCACAGTGTAGGCATATCTTGATCCTTTGACTGACCCATTGATTTCTTGCCGGAAGTATGGTATTACCCCCGGTTTCGATAGGCATCGCAAACCTTGCAACATGGCAGAAGCAGACGTTTGGTGGTAGTTCGATAACGTCGTGCGGTGTGTTGACTCCCGCCATGGGCAGACAGGCTGGACTGAGCGATGACTTAAAACTACCGATCGGGCATGTAACCCTGCACAGAATACAGTATCGATGGGTGGGTATCGAAGACGGTGGAGCTAGATGACGTTGAATGGCGCGCTGTACACATCGTGGGCGTGGAGTTTGCCATCGTCGCTGATGAAGCCATATTATGCTGTTGAGTCGTCGTTGTGTGAGCCCGACGGCGACTATCGCATCATGCGGAAGAATGTCCGCGATGTCGAGGATAAGCTCAGTCGGGAGGTTGATGAGCGGTGCTGTAGGCGCGGGCATGGCTTCCTGTACGTTCGACAGAGGTGGCTGTTGATACTTCGTGGGTCTTCGTGATCTGAGAATTGGAAACAGTCGTAGGAGGAGGTCGATGCAGTACGCTCGCGCACAAGGCGAGGCCCATTTGCTGAGCCATATCGGTGGAGTCATTCACACTGTATAGCCACCGTTGTGACATTTCACGTCCGACTGTAAAGGCGAACAGCGCCCGTCCATCGAAGGGTGAATTCGCTGCTAATAAAGGATCCATGAATTCGCCTCCTTTCCAAGGGCGGTGTCTCATATTCATGCGTGAGGTGGGCGTTGCGCTTCATCATGTGTGACGGGCTTATCGGGCGTATATGTTGCAAGGGAGGATGAGTGGTCATGTCGGAGGTGTGGCTGATGGCTTGAGTGATGCCTAGACTCATGATCGGTGGCAGGCGCGTGATGTCAGGAAGCAAAAGGGGAAAGAGCGTTGGATGTTGATGACTCGAAAAGTGTGATGACGATGGAATGGAATGGACAGGGTGACTGAGCGGATAGGCGAAAAGAGAATACATTCCTCAGGATGACGTGTGCAAGGCTTACTTTTGGAGGCTATAGCGCAACGGCGGAGTGTAGGCGAAGTTGGCGAACTACAGAAGCTGGGGTATGCGGGAGCGCAGGCCTAGCCGAATGGGTCAAACCCTTGTCTGTGTTGGTCTGCTCACGCACGTGCCATTTTGTTATTGCGCATACAGTGAGGTGTTTTCGAGCATCGGCCGGCTTTGTATAAAGACCTGTGTATCTGGAGACTCGGCAGCGCATTCCGACCCCCCACATCGTGGATGGATACTGACGTCGCATATCAGCATGCGAAGCTCGGCGTGCATGGCGTTGCTATCTTGACTTTGTTAAACCTCATCTGGAAACAAGGCCGGCACCGACGCTGGCCATCTTGGTCTTCTCTGAGCCAAACGGACTCAGGCGACAACCACACCGATGGTAGGAGTATCGTCTCTCTGGTGGATGTGCATGTGCTCTGATGGAGAAGCAAGCCACAAGTCGATATTTTCACGAATGTCTGTCTTTGGTGGGTGCTTATTGGAGGCAGCCCACATTGCTCGTCCGATTGCCCCGCATCACAGCCCAAGCGCTTCTACATGGTGCGTGATGGTGGAGGGCAGTGATCATGCTGGCAGCACGGCGTGGCATGCGTCGGCCTGGCAGCCATGGATTGCTGCACTCGCGGGCGCACTGGCGGGGCACTGCGAACGCGAGGTTCGCAGATGACGGCCACGACGCAGCTGTCGATGTCTATGGGAGGACGCAGACCCTGAGTCGGTGTATGTCAGGGCCGTGACAAAGCCAGAGCGGTAGGGTCCACGTGTAAAGGAGACGCGCGGGGCTTTGTTGCGAATAGCCGACGACAGATAGGGTGGTGAGAGCCCGAACGACGGTTGCAGGTTCGCTAAACGCGCCCGCTGCTCGCACTGCATATCCCGCAGTCCTCGACGACGACATGCAGCTGCCCCTCTCGGACGTCATCCGCCAGCTCTTCCACTTCGCCGACCGCTGAAGAGCCGTAGAGTTGGGCTTCCAGGACAATGGCAGCCACCAACGCGAGGCTGCGGCGTCCGTCATACGAAGTACGCGGTTGGACCAGGACGGGATGGAAGGCATGTCGAACTAATTGCATGCAGCTGGTGAGGCCCGTGTCGTCGAAGCGGAGATGAATTAAGTGGATAGGTCGTTGCTCGGCCTGCTTAGCGCGAGGAATCCAGCATCCCCTTTCGCCATGTCCTCACATTCCCGCGATATCTCCCGAAGTCCCTCCCTGACCCCTACCCGCTCTCAGTTGTGCTTTTCCTGGTGCCTCACTTGCTGCCTGCCCGGTGAACAGCTGTCGCTCCTTTTTCGCGGTGAAGGTGAGTTCACGGTTCACTTTCTTCGGTACGCGGCACGACCCTGTCTGTCCAAAACATCTCCGCTCTCCACCAAAATTTTCCGCTGCCCGCCTCGACCTCATTTCCCGCCCCCATATCGTCAACACGGGCTGCCGCCGACCGCCGAACCTCTTGTTGCCGAACCTCAGTCGCCAATTGCTGCGTGCCATTGCTGGACCAGAACAACCGTACTGACCAGTGTACTCAGAATATCTAGACTAGTCCCGCCCACGAGCCCTTTGGCGTTGCGCAACTACCCCGACTCCCACGAAGCCACCGGACTGCCTCTTGCCCGCCATGTCCTACTACAACGACGCGTCGTGGAACACACCCGCTCCCGGCCGCCAGCAGTCATGGGAGCAGCCCCAACCGCCCTCACGCTCAGGTACCGGCCACATGGGATTCAACGGCGCAGGTGCAGCGATTCACATGGATGTAGGCACAAGCTCCACGGTCAACAGCGAGGTCGCCAATGCCTTTGCCTCGCAGTTTGAGGGTACGTAGTTCCGGCGGTGGGGTCTGTCAGAGCCAATGCGACCCGACATGGCAGTGACAGGCCCCGTCGCAACCATAGGCGAGGCGAGTGCTGACCAGTCACCACAGAGGTCGACCGCGCCATTGAGAACCTCAGCAAGAGCGGCAAGCCCCTCGGCCCCGGCTTCCCCCCCACTCCCATGGGCGCCAACCGCCGCGAGTCCATGCCCATGATGGGAGGCGCTCCCCGCCCATACCCCGACTTCGGTACACACTTCTGCCCACGCATGCCCCTCCACACCACTGACATGTGACACAGAGCAGCAGCGCATGGGCGGCCCCCAGCGCCACCACTCGGTCAGCGAGTACGACGGCTCCCGCTCCCACTCGGCGACCAATGTCCAGGGCTTCTACCAGAACCAGCGCGGCTATGCGCCCCGACCCAACGACGCAGACCAGATGGCACAGGCGAAGCGACGGATGGCGGCTCAGCGTGAGCGTGAGCTGCGCAACTATCATCAGGAGCAGCAATACCACAGAAGTAAGGACTCGGAATCTGGGCAACAATAGGCAGGACAGTTGGTTGACTAGGGTAATACAGACGTTTCAGGCTCAGGCTCCAAGTCGGACCGCTCCATGAGCCCCAATGCCATGAATGAAGATGAGCGCCGCGAACTCATCGCCCGCCAGCACCGTGCTTTGTATGGCGAGACCTCCACCCTGTACAACAGCAACCCCACCTCGAGCCAGGATGTCCGCGTTCAGACTTCTGCTGCCGGCCGTGGCCCCTCTCCGCTCGCCTTTGACCCCTTCGGCATGCAGGCCCAGTCCGGCGAGGGCTCCGTCCAGATGCCTCCCCGCGACAAGGACGTTACTGGTGGTGCTCAGGATGCTCGTGCCAACAGCACCTCTTCGCCGTCCGGTACTCAGAACCCCGCGTTCAACCTCTTCGATGCGCAGCAGGCGAACCGCACTTCCAACTCGTCGCCCGGAGGCTCTCCCCCCGTGCCCGGTCAGAAGGCCAACGGCTCTGGCGTCGCCCCCATCGGCACTCGTCCCCAGAACCAGAACCTGCAGCAGCCAGGTGGTACCGCCCTGGGCAAGCGCGCAAACTCACCGCTGCCGTCGCCTCTCGGCTACAACTCGTACAACGCGAGCGAGCAGAACAACATGACGACATCTGCTTCTATGAACCCTTCTTCTACTGTCACTGACAAGGGCGTTGGTATTTGGAACAACGGACCCTGGAGCAACACCCCCACCCAGGGAGTCCAGGCGTCTGTTTGGGGTTAGAAAACGGAGTTTTGATTAGGGAGATAGGATGCACCTCCGGAGTTACTGCATTTCAGGTGTCTCGGGCATACTGTGTCGGTCTTTCAGATACAACCATGGGTGGAGCCGGTCAATTGGTGGTCGGCGAATATTTCCTGTGGGTTTGGCGGCGCACTTGCAGCATGCTCGCCTACGTTCCATATCTCTGGGTCTGCTGAAGATAATATACCTCTTACGGGCGGTTACATGGGTGTTTGCTAGGCAAGGTTAAGGGTCGGCATCGGTTTACGGGGCTTGCGGGAGTTTGCTTAAGGATGACTTGCTATTACCGGTTGCTAGCTTTCGGATCTGGTCGAGGGCATCTACATCATCGAAAGTGGGCTAGGTCCTACGCTGATGATATTGGGACGCTATCTGGCCTGGTATATCAAATGGTCTAATGGGAAAAGTGGCTTGGGACGAACCATCCTTTTGGTGAACATGCTTTGCGCGATGTCTCCAGTGAATCTTTTCACACTACCGCTGTGTTTATGTACCTGCCCGTTCGGGATAATCGCTGCCGTGGTGAAGGAGCTAACACGTGACCCTTGCTAGCGGCGTTCTAAGCGAAGCAATCGAGGTCAGGGTTAGCGCGGCGCGGCAACCCCAGCTCCAGAATCGTGGCCTTTGAGAGCCGCCGAGCGACTATCACCAGCTGCTTCCACAACATCTTCCATCACAACCACTCCGTCCATCTTGCACCGGTCACCGTCAAAAACACACATCATGGTCAGTAACAACTTTCTTGGCGCTAGAGGAGGCCATTGGACGCACGAGGACACCTGGCTGTCGTTCCGTAGCATGCGACAGGAGAGCAAGAGCATGAGGACATGTCACAGAGACTATTGGACTGGTGTCGCGTGCTGTCACTTCTCGAGCTGTCTGCTGTCCGTTCAGGCGTCATGGTTTCTCGATTCATCCAAGAAGCCCCGCGACAATACCCTCACGCACAAGCCAAACCTCAGAACACCAAGATCATTGCTAACATGGCCGATAGTCTGCTGCACGCGCTACCTCCCCCGCCACGGGCTCTACCGGCTCAACAACCGCCCGTCCTGCTTCACCAAAGCCCCCAGGTGGCCCCGCGACCGTTATGCGCAGGAAAGCTGCGGCTGACCGCGCCGAGAAGACCGCGAACCTGCGACCAAGCAGCACAAGGGCGGCAGGTGCTGGCGGCAGCTCAAGCACTATGCTGAGTAAGTGCACTCCGAGCTGGGTAGAGAACGAGAAGAGGAGGATGCGTAGTAGAATGAGCTGCGCAACTATGCCAGCAGCGGATTTGGCATGCTGCGGTTGGCAGAGACACAGTTGTGGGACATTGGCTAACATGCATTTCCAGGGCTATACACCGATGAGTCCCCCGGTCTGAAGGTCGACCCTGTCGTGGTCATGACCCTGTCCGTTGTCTTCATCTTCAGCGTTGTCGCTCTTCACGGTACGTACACCGGAAAATCCTGGTTCAGTATCAATCTAACAGCTCTCAGTCATCGCCAAGGTCATGCGCCGATTCTCCGCATAAACACATCTTCCCAGACGCACCCTTTACAATATTCGACCGATTCCCCTACGTTGAGGTTAGCCCTTGACTGCGGCGACAACAACATTTCTCACAACCTCTATTTGCGATTACCCGTGTTCATTTCCTTATCATCTATTCCCGATCGTTGGGCACAAGCATAGAAAGCATGGGACGAACCGTAAAAGCATTGTATCAGGATATCATCTTGACCGTTGACTTGGCAGGACGATGGAAAGCTCGTATGGCCAGGGACTGCTAGTTTTGCTTGCTGTATTATAGGTCCCCATTGGAATCAGGAGTTTTGACAATGTGTTCTCATTGAAGTCTGTTGAATCAATTCACTGTGATCGAACCGGCAATAGCTGAAGTCAGGGGATCGATAGGGAGACCGTTAATGCAGCTGAGATGCGCGTCTGTGTTCTTCTTTCTCACCATCACAGCGCATACAGGCAATCTTCAACACTCCAAGAATTTCGGACATGTTGCTTTTTAAGATTCTTCAATCCACAAGGCTTTCTATGTCATAATGTCGTATCTGTATGATTCCGCCTCTCTGATCCGAATTCTCCATCCAACTAACGCAAACTACAAAGGGGTATTCTAAACTCATTTTGAAGCCAAACAGCCGCCCAAACAATGCAGCACAGAGCCTACACAAGACGGCTCGCGCGATCAACCTCGATCTTGAACTCTTTCTTTTTCCCAATAACCAGCCGGGTCCCAGACTTGGAACCACTCCCCCCAGACTCCGCAGCCTTATCTATCTCCTCCCTCGTGATGCTCAAACTCCTCTCGCCAACCCATACCTCCGCTTCATGCCCACGATACATATGCGTAGGACGAAAATGCTCATCCGCCGTCATGAATCCATGAGTATGCGGTGGCGGCGACGCTCTCGTCGGACTACTAGATTGTATCGATTCCAGAGCATGGGAGCCATCTTGATCTCCCAAGGACTGCTTGCTCGCCCGCCGGCTGGGTAAAGTGTCCATGAGATACGATTCCGAGATGTTATCCGCGGACCGCCTGTGATGGCCATGATGGTGATGGTGACCCATCATCTGTCTCCTCGATGGCGGTAACATCCCACTCGAATGCGTCGTCAACGCACTTTCCATCCTCGACCTTCCCCCACTCCCACTACCACTATGCCCCTCTCCATACTGCTTATACGTACTACTCACGTACTCCTTATCGAACGGCTTCAAGAACGGACCCATACCCGTTATCGTGCTTGACATAATCGCATACCCCATCTGCCATTGCGTAGCGATTACGTAGTCGAAAGTGAAGTTTGACCCGCTAAGTCGTAGGTCCAGGTAGTAGAGTCGGATTCCGGCGATTGCGATCACCGGAAGGCGGGCGGAGAAAGCGAGGATTACGAGGAGTTTGGCGAGAAGGCGCATTTGGAGGGAGTAGATTAGGTGGACTGCGGCGAGGAACATTAGGAGTTCGGTTAGGATGTCGAAGGTGCCTATGCTGAGCCATTTTGGCCACTGCGGTGGTGCGTTAGTATGTGGATGTATTTCATCAAGGAAGAGAATGCGCCTAGTCGCCTAGGATAGTCGACTTACCCTGTTCGTACAGTTGCCCGCGTCTATATATGTTTGCGCAGGATTGCATGGTATAGCAATCAGGATGACGGATACCAGTGCCCATAGACAGGACAGTGCTACGAGTGACCATGACGCGATGCGATGAGATCCGCCTGGCGATAGCCGTAGGTACAGAGAAAGTACCGATAGCTTCGAGGCGAGTATAACGAAGATATAAATGATCTGCGACGCGAAACCTTCCTGTTGGTTGTTAGACGCGGTTTCCCCAGATGTTCGGCGGTTCACTCGGTCGCGGCTGCCCTGCGGGCCTGCGCGAACGCCAGAAGGAAGCAAGGAGCCGACACCCACGCGCGGATCCAGAGGGTCGCTGAATCGCCAAAACCTAAACACTACGTACATTACCAAGTTGCTGGAGTTGCGACAACGGTACTCCGACTTGTGAAGCTCCTAGGCCCAGGTTGACGAGATGGAATATGATTCCTGATTGTACCGTGTCGAGCAATGTCGCTATTGCGAGCCACCAATCTGCACACACGCTATCAGCACAATGTCTCAACTCTGAGTACAGACCGACTCTAGGGCACTTACCATCAGATCGCCACTCCCTCGATTGCAGGCGCAACCATACCCGGATCAGAAAACATGACCAGACAAAGGCCAAGACAGCTGCACCAGTCACGACAATGAGCCCGCGCTTGTCATCCGCAGATATAACATACGGCGGAGGAATCACCTCTCCAGCCATCGAGCATCAAGGGAAAAATTGAAGAACAAAGGTACAACAGAGTGGTGGCCATAAGATGACAGGCAGACAGATTCCACGGCAGTTGTCAGAGGGCGACCCTTTGGGTTCTGTACCGCTGCTCCTGCGTCTGACATGTACCTATACCGCCTGTGGTTTGCACACAGCCAGCCCAATGAGAGCTCGCGCGGACGTTATACCGCCCATGTCACTCCCTTCACGTCGTCCTCCCTCACGCTCATCGCTTATTGATCAGGACCGAATGCGACCCATGTACACGGGTTCACGGGAGATCTTGTTGAAGATGGCGTCTGATGCTAAGCGAGCCATGACCAAGTACTCCTAACGCATAAGGGTCTCTTCGTCCTTGTATGTGCTACAGTGGCTGACGCCAACAAGGCTCGGCGCCCGGCGGAATGACAGCCGCATGCTGCCATACGTTGAAATGACATTCAGGTAGCTAGCGCGAAGAAAGCGGTTTACTGAACGGTGGGACAAGAAATTCTTGTGAAAGTTTACCGTTCCCTCGGGTTTGATGAGCTCGGCTATCAGCATGACTGATTTGAGATTTCCTAGGTAATATCCGTTCGAAGCAGCAATACGGTTGCAGAACGCTACAAATTTACAAATCGTACCATGAATCACGAATCATAACATGATCAACATTCGCTAATCTGATGTTCACCCTGGATCCCTTCATCCTCGTAAGGCTGGAGAAGGTCCAGAACGAATTCTTCCGCTTCCCCTAGAGAGACGTTTCCACCTCTCACGAACGTGTCATTTCGGCGGATTATCTTTTCCTACACAAGCCTGCGGCAGATACAACTACATGTAATCAATGTACGACTCCTGCAGCGATAGCCTACGGCCCAGCCGCAGCAAACCCCCATATAAGGAAGCGGGCCGCGTGGTGTCGCGCTAGCGGCAGGGATAGTGGTATCTGGGCGGACAGGACGTCAAACCATTCATGGCAAGTCGGAGGGCCACGCACTGTGTACCGCGACGATCTTGTTGGTTGACATGTGCACCGGAGTGTATCTGCACCATTGGACCCTGGCTCCGCTCGAGAAGAAGAGATGCCGGGTATGTGAAGGGGGTTTGGGTCTAGTGCACCCCACTTCTTCGTGGAAGCGGCAGACAAGGCAATTCGCAGCGGCTGGACGAGCCCATCTCGCCAGCATGCATGTGCACGCCATTTCGTGTGTCCGTGTTGGCAATCCCTTCTTCTTACTTACCATCGCACCGTTCTCGCTTGTTCGTTTGCGTTTGCTGTTCCTGTTTCTTGGGTCTCATTTTTATTGAGGCGCTGCGTTCCTGCATATCTTAAGGCGCGCATCTGGTTATGGCTGCTTACGAGGCTCAGCCGCTTGGCAGTATGGATAAGCAGGTGACGTTGGAGTCGCGCGCGAATGCGTCGCGGTCGTTGGATGGGGATGAGAGTCAGGAGTATCACCAGTCTCTGAGGGGTTTCACGAGGGCTGATCGCGCGGATATGGAGCGCATGGGCAAGGTGCAAGAGCTGAAAAGAAATTATCGGCCGTTGTCTGCGTTGGCGTTTACCGTTATCTTGCAGGGCACTTGGGAGGTGCTTTTGACGTAGGTTACCTTGGTACTATGGATGTGGACTAGGAACTGACAGTATCGTAGTGCAACATACCAAGGCCTTCTTGATGGAGGTCCAGCAGGTCTTATCTGGAGTTTCGTCTGGACATGGTTCGGCTTCAGCACTGTTATGCTGTCGCTAGCAGAGATGGCATCGATGGCACCGACCGCTGGTGGCCAGTACCACTGGGTTTCTGAATTCTCGCCTCCCAGCGTCCAGAAGCCATTCAGCTACTTCATCGGCTGGATGTCAACATTATCATGGCAAGCCGGTACAGCTTCCGGACCTTTCCTCGTCGGCACCCTAATCCAAGCTTCCGTCATCGTCATGTACCCAGAATACGAGCCCACCAGCTGGCACGGAACGCTCATGGTCATTGCCGTGACCTTCTTGGTCTGGGTCCTGAATATCTGGGGCTCAAAGGCTATGCCTATTTTCCAGAACGTCATGTTGGTCGTTCACGTATTCGGTTTCTTGGCCATCATCATTGTCTTCTGGGTTCTGTCGCCACGGGCTACTGCAGAAGTGACTTTCACCCAGTTCAAGAATGGCGGAAACTGGAGCTCAACTGGTTTGGCTCTCATGGTGGGTCAGGTGTCAGCCATCTACGCCTGTATCTGTAAGTCTACATCTCTACCAAGCTTCGTCGTTGGAACATAAGCTGACTCCCGATCACAGGCTCCGACTCCGCAGCCCACATGGCCGAGGAGATCAAAGATGCCGGCAAAACCGTCCCCCGCGCCATGATTGGCGCGTACCTCATGAACGGCTCTCTCGGAATAGTCTTCCTGATCAGCTACATGTTCATGATCACCGACGTCGACGCCGCACTCGCGGAAGACTACCCGCACATGTGGGTCTTCGCCCAAGCCGTCAACTCGGGTGGTGTCGTAGCCCTCAACGCCATCCCCACTGTGCTCATCTTCGCCGGCACATTGACCTTCAACTTGTCGACTTCGCGCCAGACCTGGGCTTTTGCTAGAGACAAGGGTCTCCCATTCAGCAACTGGATCGGCCATGTCGATCCAAAGTTGGAAATTCCGGCGAATGCTGTGACGGTGACTTGTCTTATCACCGTTGCGCTGAGTTTGATTAACATCGGCTCGGATACTGCTTTCAACGCTAGTATGTTGCGCCTCACTCATTTGCTCTTTTGTAAACTGTCAACTAACGCACTCCAGTCATCTCCCTCAACGTCGTAGCTCTCATGATAACATACATGTTCTCCATCGGCGCCGTCCTCTACCGCCGCATCCGCCACCCCGAACTCCTCCCCAACTGCCGCTGGTCCCTCGGCAAATGGGGCGTACCCATCAACATCGGCGGCGTTCTCTACTCTTCCCACGCCTTCTTCTGGTGCTTCTGGCCTGAGTCTACGCCTGTACCTTTGGCGTACTTCAACTGGGCTGTTGTTATGTTTGTTGGTGTGGCTGTTCTGAGTGGTATCGATTATGCTATTCGAGGACGCAAGCAGTACAAGGGTCCTGTTGTGCTTGTAGATGGATTCAAGGGCGAATGACAGATACGTGGGTTAGAGATAAGGGATGAGGAAGATGAGGGAGAGGGCGATGAGCTACTTGGGTTTGATGTTAATAGATCTGACGATGAAGACGAAGATTGAATATAGACTTTTTCTCCACTTCACTTGATCTAATTAGCACGTGCCGCGAATGATCGTGCATCCGTGATACGACCTCATTCAGCAAAGCTATCGCTTTCAAACCGTGCACTAAAGTGACATTCAATGACCAGCCTGAGCCAAGGGTAAGCCCTGGTCTAGGTCGGACGCGTGTTTCATTCCTCGTTGATACGAACTCATTGTAACGTTGTGAACCGTGACTGTCACCGGCGGCCTTGGTCTCCGCACATGTGTGTCCACCAGCGGAGGCCTGATGTGGAGATATAGTCGAAAAGTGGTCAAATACGCGACTTTCCGGTAGCTGCAGCCGAAACCAGGCTGTCATTGAACACCGTTGCGTAGTCAGGTCCTTGATTGCTCACCTTGGCAAGACACGAAGGATGGGCAGATGCAGTTGGAGTGGGGCATCAGATAAAATTTGCACCGGATAATACTCGGATCTGATAAGATGCTCTGCCATCCGCCAATCGCAAACCGACCACCATATCCGCGACGATGGTGGATCGCTCGTGTACTTGCGGATAGCTTAGTTACTGGCGCGACGATAGTTAGCTGATTTCCGATGTCGGTGTGGTGTATGTGTGGTGCGCTGCCGGCATATAGAAGTGGGCGTTCTGCCACCTGCACTTCTAATCTAATCAGATCATCTTTCTCTCATCCCGCCCTGCCAACACTCCTACACCCCCACGACCCCTCCTTTATCAGATCAAATATTCACAATGAGGCTCCAAGGCGTTACTGACACACTGGGCAACCTCAGCCTATCAAATCCCAACCGCGTACTCGTTGTCGGCTGCGCGTATGGAGGCATCTCTACTGTCGTCAACCTCCTGGAACTCTCACAAGGAAAGGCCCGACAGAGTGTCTACCCAGGTCCTGACTTCAAGGGTGCACGGAGTAACAGAGGGGTTGAGATTACTGTCATCGATGAGCGCGATGGTTATTGTGCGTCATTCTACCCCACTAGCCGAGGCTCAGCATCTTCACTGCCCCACCTTGTCACCCTGCGTCAGAGGAAATTTAGCTAATACTTGTGTCTTGCAGTCCACTCGGTTGGCGCACCGCTCGCCCATGTTACCCCAAAGTACACAACCCATATGTGGAAGAGGTATAGCCATCTAAACGAGCTAAGGCACCCAAATCTGC